CTGGAAAAGCGACGGAGCCCGAGACGAGCGCACAAAACACACAAAACACACAAAACACACACAAGTACACGTCTGATGAAAGAGAATGGGGAAGCAGACTTGCCACAGAGCTCGTTTGATCAGCGCTCTGAAGGACCGGCTGCACTTTCTCTCTCCGAAGCACATTTGTACACACACAACATGGCCGATCCTCGCACTCTCATCCACCCACACGCACTTGGCAAACTAACACAGAGCTACGGGCCCATCAGGAGAATTAACACCTCTGCGGAAAAGAATATACACGAGGAAAAACTAAAAACGTATTTGAACACTTTGGGTAGTTGCACTTTATTTTTTATTTTTTTTACAATGATTCTATCTGTTTTAAGGCTGTAAAATAAAAATAAAAACTTTTCTCACACAGGACAGTTACTTAAAGGTTGTATGGAGGATTTTTTTTTTTGTTTTTTTTGTTTCAAGTTGTCAATGATAGCATTATAGAGGTGCAGTAGCCTTGTAATTATGATGACCAAAAAAAAAGAGAATAAAAATTCATCAACTCTGGACGTGGTGGGGCCAGCTAAACATTTGCCAATAGATAACGACACGGCCTCGTTATCTGTTAGCTGACAGGCTATCAATCAAACTCCCTACGTTTCTAGCGTAACTGACCTGCCTGCGCGCCGCCGGTACGTGGTTTACGTACGCCTGTCACGCAGTCCACAGACGCAAGACGCACAGACGCTGTTTACTCCACCAATGCAACAGTTCTTAGCGGCTTTTTTTGACCTATATCTTCCTCGCAGTTCACACAAAGTTTGTTGCAATGGCAGACAAGAATCCAGGAGCAGTTAGCCGCAAAAGAAAGTCCGTTTTTGAGGTCGCTGAAAGAAGAAGACAAGGGGAAAAGCAGCGAAGCCAAACTAAGGTGATTCTTGTAGATTCATTCCAGCGATGGCGCGACTGAAGCAGACGCAGGGTCTAAAGACTGACGCATTGGTCGCCAAATTACTCCTGGACAGGTAACTTCTGCTTATTATGAAAACGTACTTTATTTCCAAGAGCTAGTCAAACGTTTTTCAGGACACGAAAGCGATATCCTATGTCTGAAAACGTAATTTTCAAGGCAAAGAAAGAGTCCGCTTGCTGCTGCGTGTTGTAGCTAGTTCATTCGCACTGAATCTCCGCGCAACCTTCTCTGCTCCCCTTTCCTACTCCTGTCCCCGCTGCCCGTTCCGCTCTTTCCCCTTCTCCTCACTTCTACGGGCACGGAATCTCCGCGCACCGCTCCCCTCTCCTCTCTCCTCTCTCCTCTCTCCCTGCTCCGCTCTTCTCCCTGCTCCTCACTTCTCGTCCGCGAACGAAATGTCCGCACACCCGCTCCCCCCGCTCCTCACTTCTCCGCCTTGCCTAACCAACACTGTAGTTAGTTGTTTACAAGTCATGTGCAGCTCACCGGCTGTAAACAAACCTGTTTCTGGCGTAGTGAGGAGGCGGGAGAAGGCGTTTCTACGTAGGGAGCTGTAGGGGAGGGGGGTGGTTTCACGCATGCGCAACATTTTGAAAAAGGACAAACAGTCGCTGGATTTCTCGTTCCTTGGAAAATCCTCTATACAACCTTTAACACTTTTTGCGTCCTTCTTAAAACTTATTTCTGCTGTCGTCTTTTTGTTATTTTTCTCCTTCTTTACGTGACGAACCGAAGATGAATTTATTCCGTAACGGAGCCCGACAGCGCAGAGTCCTGCACCGGTCCATTTTTGGAGACTCGCACCCGCCCGTTAACCCGAGATTATATCAAACGTTTGTGCTGCTTACGTCATGGACTAAACCAGGACTAAACCAGGATTAAACCGGGACTAATCTAGGACTGAAGAGGAGGACTAAAACAGGACTAAAATAGCAGAAAACCAGGACTAAAACATGAATAAAACAGGACTAACCTAGGACTGAAGAGGAGGACTGAACCAGGACTAAACCAGGACTAAACCAGGAGTGAACCAGGACTAAACCAGGACTAAACCAGGAGTAAACCAGGACTAAAACTGGACTAAAACAGGAGTAAACCAGGACAAAAACTGGAGAAAACAAGGACTAAACCTGGACTAAAACAGGACTAAAACAGGACGGAACCAGCACTAAAACATGAATAAAACAGGACTAAAACAGGACTGAAGAGGAGGACTAAACCAGGACTAAACCAGGACTGAACCAGGACTAAACCAGGACTAAAACAGGAGTAAACCAGGACTAAAACTGGACTAAAACAGGACTAAACCAAGACTAAAACAGGACTAAAACAGGACGGAACCAGGACTAAAACAGGAGCAAACCAGGACTAAAACAGGACGGAACCAGGACTAAAACAGGACGGAACCAGGACTAAAACAGGACGGAACCAGGACTAAAACAGGACTAAACCAGGACTAAAACAGGACTAAACCAGGACTAACCTAGGACTGAAGAGGAGGACTAAAACAGGACTAAAACAGGAGTAAACCACAACTGCATTTTTGAGGAGTGATTTAAAAACAGGTACAGACTCGGCCTCTAATCTCTAACGGCGACTGGTTCCAGAGCCGAGGGGCAGAAACAGAAAACTCACGGTCCCCACGAAGCTCATGTTTAGTGTTTTGACACCAACATAAAGTGCAGTACAATAATCCAATCTCGTCGTCACAAATGCATGTTTGACAGTTTCGAAGTGTTGCGTTGACAAAATAGGCTTTATTTTGGTCAAAACTAGATTTGACAACAGCATTAAATTGCTGATCAAGTTTTAGATCAGGGTCCATTTTGACTCCTAAGTTTGTAACAACTGGCTTCACTAAAGGATTTAATGAACTCAGGTCCACAGGAAAAGATAAATAAACCGGTTGTGTAACGAAGTTAATAATCCTAGATCAGGGGTGTTCATACTTTTTCATCATGTGAGCTACTTACAAAATGACCAAGTCATAATGATCTAACTACTACAAAGCCAAACAAACTGCACTGAAACACTCTGTGCCCCTTTTTTGGACCCTCCCCACAGTTTGAGAACCTCTTCTTTAAGAGAACTTCCTCTGGCACTTTACACAAAACTGAAAAAAGTAAAGGAAGATTTTAAACCTTTTTTAAAGTTCAAACTGGAGTTTCATTCTGGTTGCAGTGATATTTTTTTTTTTAATATTATCTTTATTAATATTTGTTTCTTTTAAAAGAACATACAGGTACAACAAAACACAGACAAACTGCCAGACAAGACAAAATAAAAAGTACAAGCAAGCAACTGACAATAATAAACAGTATAGTAGTCAACCAAAAAAATACAAATATGTATGTCCCGTCAATCAAATGGTGGCAATCTGACATTGAGCCAGGAATGGTCCCCATATTGCTTTATGTCTCTGCTCTTTGCCCATGGTGTCCACACGAATACGCTCCATTTGGATAACGGACACCATTTCACGGAGCCAGTGTTCAAAAATTGGAGGTGTGGCGGACTTCCATGTCAGCAGAATATGTTTTTTAGCCACCACCATCCCAAGCTGCAGCGCCCGCCAAACGTCCGATGTAAGTCCCAGATCATCCGTGGAGCATCCGAATATGGCTAAACTATAATCCGGTTTAATATCTCTGCAATAACAGTTAGAAAACCATTTAAAGATTGTGGACCAAAAGGTAGATAATTGTGGACAAAACCAAAAAAGATGAGCAAGTGTTCCTTCGGCACAGGAACACTTGTCACACTGGGAAGACACTGTTGGAAAAATTCTATTCAATTTTGTTTTAGAATAGTGTAACCTGTGTACCACCTTGAACTGGATAAGCTGATAACGACTGTTAATAGAACATGAATGAATTTGTGCCAATGCCTTCTCCCAGAGTTCAGCAGATATGTCAGAATTTAAATCTTTACCCCATGCCTCCCGCAGATATTCAGTAGAGACAGAAGTATTAAAACAGTTCACAAATTGAGAGATGAGATGTTTAGAATCAGGCAAAAGCTGCAGCTTGTCGTAAAATTTATGAGAGGGTGGAATTGATTCATAATGCTTGTATGTCTGTTTCACATAGTGTCGAATTTGAAGATAGCGAAAGAAATGTGAATTTGGAATATTGTATTTATCACGGAGTTGGGCAAAGGAAGCAAACTGACCGTCAATATACAAATCAGTCAGAGCTACAATACCCTTTCTCTTCCATGTAACAAACGTTGCATCTAACTGGCCAGGTCTAAATTGTGGATTTCGGCAGATTGGAATATACATAGAATCTTTAGGTAACTGAGTCCCTGTTTTAATCTGTTGTAATATGCGAAGGGAGTTCCTCAAAATAATTTTTTTCTTAATCGGCTCATCTAAAGGTAAATTTGAATACAGACATGAACAAAGTGAAATATTATCAATATCAGAAGCTTCAAGTCTAACCCAAGAAGGGGTATCTTCCTGTTCCTCATCAATCATTTCTGCCTGTTTCCAGTAAGTAAGAGCTCTGGAATTGGCTGCCCAATAGTAATGTTTAAAAACTGGGAGCCCAAGACCTCCTTCATCTTTCGACTTATGAATGTGAGCTTTAGATATCCTGTGAGATTTGTAACCCCACACAAAAGGCATGATAATAGAGTCCAGCTTTTTAAAAAAGGATGCACTTAGATAAATAGGTAAGTTTTGAAATAAATATAAAAATCTTGGTAGACTAACCATTTTGATTGCATTAACTCGCCCAATCAAAGTTAATGGTAATATTCTCCAGGCCTCAATATTGATTTTAAGTTTATCCAATAATTCTGCAAAATTTGCTTTAAAAAGATTTACAGGATCCCTTGTCAATTTCAGTCCCAAATAGTTAAAATAATCGCTTACCACACTAAATGGTACAGTGTCTAGAAGTACCTGTGGTAAACTGTCCACTAATGGCATAAATTCACTCTTTCCCCAGTTTATAGTATATCCAGAAATCTGTCCAAATGAATTTACATAGTCTAGTAGTGCAGGAATGGATGTTTTTGCATCTGACAAACATATCAATAGGTCATCTGCATATAATGTAACACATGTCTCAGTTCCCCCCACTGTAATGCCCTTGATGTCTGGATTTTCCCGTATCCCAATAGCTAGAGGTTCTAGTGCGATATCAAACAGCAAGGGGGACAAGGGATCTCCCTGACGTACCCCTCTGCCTAGAGAAAAAGGTTTAGACTTATTCCCATTTGTAATAATGGAGGATCTAGGACTAGTATACAAAATTTTTACCCACGCAATAAACTTATCACTAAAAGCAAACTTTTCCAGTGTTTTTGAATAGGTACGGCCACTCTATGGTGTCAAATGCTTTATGCGCATCTAAAGAAAGCACAGCAGCACCTTCGGTTCTTTTATGATCGGAATATAGAATGTTAAGAATTTTACGAACATTGCAGAAAGAATATCTACCGGGTATAAACCCAGTTTGATCAGGATGTATGATACTCGCTATACACTTTCCTAGTCTTGTGGCCAACACCTTTGTTATAATTTTTAGATCATTGTTCAATAAGGCAATTGGCCTGTAATTCCCTGGGTCTGTATCATCCTTTCCCTTCTTCAAGAGTACACATATGTTTGCATCACATAGAGAAGTTGGGAGTAACTTATTTGTATAAACATGACGTGTCATTCTTAGTAGTAGAGGGGCTAGTTTAACACCAAAGGCCTTATAAAATTCAGGGCTATACCCATCAGGGCCAGGAGCTTTTCCAGAAGGAAAGGCTTTTATGGCTTCAAGAATCTCAATTATAGTAAACTCTGAATCCAAGTATTCCCTGGAGGTTGCATCCAACTGTGGAAAAGGTAGGGACTCAAAAAAGTTATCCATATCTTCTTGTGTGGCCTTTGTTTTGGAGGAGTAAATGTCAGAATAAAACTCCCTAAAACGTTCATTGATGTCCTGCAAATCTGTCATCAGAACTCCAGTTCGAGACTTCACTTTATAAATAGCCCGCTTTGTCTGCTCCCCCTTCAACTGCCTAGCCAGCAATTTATGGGGCTTTTCACCTAATTCAAAATTCTTCTGTTTCAATTTTAAAATAATTTTACCAACCTGGTCTCCCAATATAGTGTTATATTCATATTGTAGCCTAAGAATGTTATTGTAGTCAGATTGAAGTTTAGATCTTTTATAAGTCTCATCTGCAGTTTTCAGTTCTTCCTCAATTTCTTTCAGACGGCCATATCTGGTCTTGTTGCGTCTCGCCTCAAAAGAGATGATTTGCCCTCTAATGTAAACTTTCAAAGTTTCCCACAAGGTTGAATCATTGACTTCACCATTGTCATTGGTCTCAAGGAATAAGGAGATCTGCTCATTGATGTATTTGTTGAAATTAGGGTCTGCAAGCAACATGGGGTTAAAGCGCCAACAATAAGTTTGTTTGGGAAGAGAAAGTCTAAGGGTTATATTAACAGGGCCGTGATCAGAAATTATTATATTATGATACTTACTACATTCGATGTTAGAAATCAACCTGGAATCCACTAAAAAATAATCAATACGTGTGTATGACTTATGGGTATGAGAGTAAAAAGAATAATCACGATCAGATGGGTGTTGAAGACGCCAAATATCAACTATTCTCTTTGATTTAATTAAATTATTTAGAGTCTGCACTGAAATTATATTAGGTGGCGATGCAGTAGAAAGTCTATCCAAATAAGGATCCAAATAACAATTGAAATCCCCTCCAATCAGCAGATAACTTGTATCATCATCTGGAACCATGTTAAATACTCTACGAAAAAAGGCTGGATCATCGGTATTTGGTCCATATATGTTAACTAACGTCACAGGAAATCTATTAATTTGCCCAGTGACAATAATAAACCGACCATTAGGATCTGTTATGCTGGACTGGAATCTAAAAGGTACTGATTTCCGAAAAAGAATCGCCACACCTCTAGCTTTGGAAGTAAATGGTGAATGATATATTTGCGAAACCCAATTGGTTCTAAGTTTCATGTGTTGTGTATCTTTAACATGCGTTTCCTGCAGGAACACTATATCAGCTTTCAATAATTTTAAATGTGCAAATACTTTACCACGTTTAATGGGGTGCCCCAAGCCCCGCACATTCCAGGAGACCAAGGACAAAGTATCTAAGGGATTATGCATGCATCATAGTAGATAGAAAATATTAAACAAAATGCAGTTGCCTTGAAGTACAAAAATACACTTTAGTGTTTGTCTGGCAGTTAGGAACATACAAGAACAAATACACACAATCACATAGAACTTATGTGTGAACAATACCCCCGCCCATAGCTTCCCCAAACGAAGCTGAACTGCCCACATACTCACTAGGGGCCACCGGCCAAAGAGAAACGTATTTAAATTTTAAAAAGAAAGAAAAAAAAAAAAAAAAAAAAAAACCTTATAAGAAAAATCTAAAAATATCAGCACCTCAAGAACACGTAAATAATATTTATGTGCCAGCATTAACATTTATATAGTAACAGTAATAGTCATTATGTCCTCCAATTTCAACAATTTAAATAATAGTATTGGGACCTGGAGATGAAACTTACTTTAGAGTTCGTTGTCTACAAAGGTCTTAGCTTCCGCAGGACTGTTGAAAGTTTTTACTTGCCCTTGGTGATGAACGTGAAGCCGCGCCGGAAAGCGAAGAGAGTGTTGAATGTTCTTCTCTCGCAGCCTCTGTAGTACCTCCTTGAAGCTCCGTCGCTGCTCCATGACATCCGCGGTGTAGTCGGGAAAAATGAAGATTCTCTTCCCACCGTAGTCTAGGGTGCGTTGTCTCCCAATGCGCAGAATCTTTTCTTTTTCCTGGGCAAAGTGGACCCGAGCAATGATAGTGCGTGGTTTAGAGCCGTCCGTTCTGTAAGTGCGATGTGCCCTATCTATGACCAGAGGCTTGTCGAAGTTCTCGGCTCCGAGAAGTTTAGGAATCAAATCAGTTACAAAGTCCGTTGGCCTCCCCTTCTCCTCTCCTTCGGGGATGCCCACTATTTTTATGTTGTTACGCCTCGATCTCCCCTCCAGGTCCGAAAGTTTCGATCGGAGTGCTTTATTTTCTTTCTGTAATTCCCCAAGCGCCGTCTCCATATTCTCAATGCGCTGCTCGTGGTTCGCAGCCTGGTCTTCCATTTCGTCCATCCTCTTGTTCAGGGCCTCCTGTCGCGCGAAGAGGCCTTCAAGTTTCTCTCCGAACTCGTTAAAACGGACATTAATGGACCGGAGGATGCTCCTTTCTATTTTCTGCCACATAAGTGGTAGTTCGTCCTCCTCTCCGCTCTCCGTCTCTGGGCTGAACTCATGGCTCGGATCCGCCGCGCTAGCACTAGCAGTGGTTGTAGCTTCTGGCTTCTGCTGGCGACCCTTTTCCTGACGCTTACCGGGCATTTTGTCGGTTTAAAATGAAAAGAAATGTAGGCAAACGAACGACGCTAGTATTAAAATATCTTTGGAGTCATAAAAGCTGGCAAATAATACTTAAAAAATAAAAGTTATCGCGCCTCGAGGAGCCTCGCAAAAAACACGTCTACTCCCTAGCCATCTCACTAGCGCCTCTCCGTTTTGCAGTGATATTTACCAGCCTCTGCACCACAGGTGTCAAACATAAGGCCCGGGGGCCAGATCCGGCCCTCCAAGACCTTTAATCTGGCCCTCGGCTGATTTTCTACTAAAATATTTTAATTAAAATTTCTATTAAAATATTGGTAATTTTCTGCACCGCTTAACATAGCAGCGTCTCCAGTGTCTCTGTACGTGGCCCCTCCCACCAGAGCAGCACAAATGAAGACTTGTCTCTTTCCAAACGCTCTTAAAGGACGATCGTTTTGACTGTTGACCTGTGACACCCTCATCAGAAAAATGACAAAAATTTGAAAAGTGAATGCCAAGTGCAGGATTTTCCAAGAAAAAATGGACTTGTTCCAATTTGCGGACAAGTTAATGTTAAAACATTGTGTTGAAATTGTATGCAAAGAGTTCATCAATTAAAAAAAGATTTCTGTAATAGATTTGTGTTTCTCTGCACAAATATTTGAACTTATTGTTATTTTTGGGGTTTATATGACATGAGTTTTCTGATCCGGCCCCTTTGGGATCAAAGTAGGTTCGATATGACCCCCAGACCAAAATGAGTTTGACACCCCTGCTCTGCACGTTTACCAAACCAAACGCACATTGTGACAAACACAGATGCATTTGTGCACTTTTGTTAGACAAACTTCAGCCAAATGTGGCAGTAGGTCTGTTCTGTAGATCCGCTCTATGCTGTAGACCTGCTTTGTGCCAACACTGAACACAAATTTAGACTGGTTTTTGCTTCACGTTTGGTCTTGCTCTTCTAATCAGCGCACTGTGGGAGGGGCTTGTGTTCGCTGTACGCAGGAAGGAGCGAGAGCGTGAAAAGGCGAGGGGCGGCGTGCTGACGTGAGGCAGATGGACAGGTAGGATGTTTAGGAAGTTGAACCTGCCCTGTGATGCTGGTACACGAGGGCACACGCTGTCGCAGACGAGCCGTGCATAGGGAGCGTGTGTGTTTGTGATGCGCCGTAGAGTCTCCGCGGGTTTCAAATGAGCGCACAGGCTGCACTGAGACGCCCCACACGCTCCTGCACCCGCTACAAGTTTATTACCAACAGCAGCGGCCGGAATGAAATATGATCACACTTGTTGAGTGTCAGACCTCGAGTGAGAGACAAGACCGAGTCCAAACGTGAGTCCGAGACGAGTTCTAAGACACGGCGATCTACCAACACGACCTTGGCGATCGACTGGTAGATTGCGATCCACGTATTGAGCACCCCTGTCCTAGATGCACTACAAAAAAAAAAAAAAAAAAAAGAAAAAACACAAAACAATAAAAAGCCAGGCCCTGAACCATGGAGCCGTTTCCTTTTGCAGCGTTCCTTCTTTATCTCTCCACCGTTGTTGATCCTCCTCCTCCTCTTCACTTTTGGCAGGCTCACAGTGCACGAGCTCACAGACGCATCAGGAGCATTTAACTCAGCGGAAGAACAGAGGCGGTCTGGCTGGCTCCCTCCTCCCTTCCTCGCGGCCCCTCCATCGCTCCCGTCGCTCAAACTCAAACTCAGGTTCACTCTGGTGAGCTGCGCGGGGCCCGGAGGATCGGAGCAGACTTTCGAGGACCGTCGGCGGAGATGGACCTGAGATTAGTTTCACCGTGTGAGGAGCTGCGGCCGGTTATAGAGGTTGTCTGTGTGGGTCTGTGTTCGCGGTACAGACGAGAGTAAACACCAAAGAGCAGGATTTATGAAACTTTAAAGAATTGCTCAGTTTTAAAGGTCCGATATCGCACAAAATGGATTCTTGAGAACTTTAAGCCGTGTTATAATGTCAAAAATAGACGTGGAGTTGTGTTTGTTTCATTCACACATGTTTGAGTCACTGTTTATCATTAGTCTGTCTACATCTCCAAAGCTCTAAATGCTCTGTTCCACCTCGTGATGTCATCTAGTAGTAGTAGTTTTTAAGTGAATCACTCTCCAACAGGCTCCTACAGGTCCACTCAAACAGAAAGAGATACAGGACTACATTCATACTATAATACTCCCTACAACTGTACAACTCACCCTTATGTAACAGGTAATACTCCCTACAACTGTAGAGCAACTCATGTTTATGTAACAGATAATACTCCCTACAACTGTACAACAACTCACCCTTATGGAACAGATAATACTCCCTACAACTGTAGAGCAACTCATGTTTATGTAACAGATAATACTCCCTACAACTGTACAACAACTCACCCTTATGTAACAGATAATACTCCCTACAACTGTAGAGCAACTCATGTTTATGTAACAGATAATACTCCCTACAACTGTACAACAACTCGACCTTATGTAACGAATAATACTCCCTACAACTGTACAATTTATGTTTATGTAACCGATAATACTCCCTACAACTGTACAACAACTCACCCTTATGTAACCGATAATACTCCCTACAACTGTAGAGTAACTAATGTTTATGTAACAGATAATACTCCCTACAACTGTACAACAACTCACCTTATGTAACAGATAATACTCCCTACAACTGTACAATAACTCACGTTTATGTAACAGATAATACTCCCTACAACTGTACAACTCACCCTTATGTAACAGATAATACTCCCTACAACTGTACAATAACTCACATTTATGTAACAGATAATACTCCCTACAACTGTACAACTCACCCTTATGTAACAGATAATACTCCCTACAACTGTACAATAACTCACATTTATGTAACAGATAATACTCCCTACAACTTTACAATAACTCACGTTTATGTAACAGATAATACTCCCTACAACTGTAACAACTCACCCTTATGTAACAGATAATACTCCCTACAACTGTACAACAACTCACCCTTATGGAACAGATAATACTCCCTACAACTGTACAACAACTCACCCTTATGGAACAGATAATACTCCCTACAACTGTACAACAACTCACCCTTATGGAACAGATAATACTCCTTACAACTGTAGAGTAACTAATGTTTATGTAACAGATAATACTCCCTACAACTGTACAATAACTCATGTTTATGTAACAGATAATACTCCCTACAACTGTACAACAACAACCACATCTCCAGGTCTGTTTGTGGTGATGAAACTACATTAGAAAGTAGATCAGAAAATATTGCTCGGATTGGATTTTTATTATTATTATTTTCTTTTCTGTGTTTTGAATACGTATCGCCGTTCATTTTGGATGTATAAACGCACGTATAAAACCTCCATCCGTCCCCGTCTCTGCGGCTCTTTCAGGTGTAGCTCTGCATACTTACGCCGCCATTACGCTGAAGCGCTCTGTGTGAAGGAGACGCGATTGATGGCACAGATGATTACTTGTCACGGCTCGAAAAATGGATGGGACCTGAGCCAGATAGGATTTTCTCTCTCTTTTTCTCTCCCGCTCTGAGATAAACCAACCTCATCTGTTCTTTTTTTTTTTTTTCCTCCTCTCTTTTTTTTCTGTTGAAATGAAGAGCTCCCCCAGGCCGCGCGGAGATTGCTGTGAAATGGGATGGTGCGTGCCTTGTTGTTAGCAGAGCCTTAATGCCGCACTTGGTAAAAGCTCTCGTTGCTATAGGTCCCCGTCGGCCTGTTGGAGACGCGGCACTTTGACGGGGAGTTCGCTCGGGGGAGTGTGCGACTGTGGGGAGCGCAGGTGTGAGGAAGAGTCGACAGTAACACAAGTACAGTACGGAGTTTGTTTACACTCGATCTGATGGACGCCAACGCTGCTGTGCCGCCGACAAAGTACGCTTCCTTTCCTTTGTGGAGATGTGAACGCGCTGTCGAACCAGATTCACGCCAAACAAACACATCTGGTCCATCTGAATCCGTGTATCATTCGTTCATTCGTTTTTCAATATAAAACCAAAAATAAGAAAATGAATAAACAGTTTTCTTCATTATTTGTCTCCAAAACCAAAATTAAAAAACAGATAGCGATTCGTTTTTTCAGTTTTCGATTTTGTGTTTAAATGAAGAATGGAAAAAACGTTTCCCGTTTACGTGACTTCAGTGACTGCGAACCAGGACTGATCCAGGTCCAGGACCAGAGCGGGACCAGAGCGGGGCCAGAGCGGACTCTGAGCTTTGACTCCGAGCCTCCGCACGGTCCGAGCCTCAGCTTCGAGCTCCGGCCCTGCTGTGGGCTCTGAGCCTCTGGTCTGGACCCGGTCTGGTCTCGGTCTCAGTCCCGGTCTGGTCCCGGCCTAATCTCAGTCTCAGTACCGGTCTGGTCCCGGTCTGGTCCCGGTCTGGTCTCGGTCTGGTCTCGGTCTGGTCTCGGTCTCAGTCCCGGTCTGGTCTCAGTCTCAGTCCCGGTGTGGTCTCAGTTTCAGTCCCGGTCTGGTCCCGGCCTAATCTCAGTCTCAGTACCGGTCTGGTCCCGGTCTGGTCTCGGTCTCAGTCCCGGTCTGGTCCCGGTCTGGTCTCGGTCTCAGTCCCAGTCTGGTCCCGGTTTGGTCTTGGTCTCAGTCCCAGTCTGGTCCCGGTCTGGTCTCGGTCTCAGTCCCCGGTCTGGTCCGGCCTGGTCTCAGTCTCAGTCCCGGTCTGGTCCCGGCCTGGTCCCGGCCTGGTCTCAGTCTCAGTCCCCGGTCTGGTCCTGCCTGATCTCAGTCTCAGTCCTGATCTGGTCCTGGTCTGGTCCTCGGTCTCAGTCTTGGTCTGGTCCTGGTCTCAGTCCCGGTCTGGTCCCGGCCTGGTCTCAGTTTCAGTCCCGGTCTGGTCCTGGTCTGGTCCTCGGTCTCAGTCTGGTCTGGTCCCTGTCTCAGTCCTGGACTCAGTCCCGTCTGGTCCCTGTCTCAGTCTGGTCTCAGTCTTGGTCTGGTCCCAGTCTCAGTCCTGGTCTCAGTCCCGGTCTGGTCCTGGACCTGGATCAGTCCTGGTTCAGTCCGTACGCGGTGCAAAAGTCCGACATCACAGTCACGTACACGGGAAACGACCGTTATCCGTTTTTTTTTTCCATTTTTCATTTAAACACAAAATCGAAAACTAAAAAACCAAATCATTATCAGATTTTTCATTTTGGTTTGGGAGATAAATAAATAACATTTTTTCATTTTTTTATTTTTGGTTTTATATTGAAAAACGAATAAACGAATGATACACGGATCCAAAATTTGTGATGCACGTAAACCAGGGGACACACAAGTCATGTTTACAAATCTTACACACTCTTCCATTATCCAATAAATGTGTAGTAATTTGATATTAAAACCATACAGAAAGACTTTATAAAATACTCTCTCAAATACAGTGAATCCCCTGAAAAATCCATATTCCAGTCTGGTTCTGCGGTGCATGAGCCTGTGTCAGAGTCTGTACTTGCTCAGCGGCTCCTGTCTGTGGAGGAACTGGTTGAATGCACAGGAAGTGACATGTGGGGTCGAAGGTCACTGAATCATAAGAGGAGGTGGATGGTGGGAGGAACATTCTCCATAGAGCTGCGTGGGTTTTACGGCATACTGTGGAATATTATAGCCAAAGGATCAACATTTCCATGGAAAAGAGCAGGAACAGACGCTCCTCCGGGCCAAATAAGTCAAGTCGCTGTAAGGACACGTGTTTTTCAGAGCAATAAAACCAAACAAAATGGAAATTAACAAGCAAAACTAAAATCATTCCTTATATTTTAGTCTGTTTTTGGTCTAAAAAGGTGCAGACTGTTTACATTACGAAAGGGGAAGTTCTTAATTTACTGTCAATCTACGTTTCTACCATCACCACCTCTGGTCATGAGCTCTGAGTAATGACCAAAAGGACGAGATCGCCGATACAAGCGGGCGAAATGAGTTTCCTCCGCAGGGTGTCTGGGCGCTCCCTTAGAGACAGGGTGAGGAGCTCAGTCACACGGGAGGAGCTTGGAGTAGAGCCGCTGCTCCTCCACGTCGAGAGGAGCAGTTGAAGTGACTCGGGCGTCTGTTCTGATGCCTCCTGGACGTCTTCCTTGGGAGGTGTTCTGGGCATGTCCCACCTGAAGGAGGCCCCGGGGAAGACCCAGGACACGCTGGAGGGACTATGTCTCTGGGCTGGCCTGGGAACGCCTCGGGCTCCCTCATGAAGAGCTGGAGGAAGTGTCTGGGGTGAAGGAAGTCTGGCAGAAAAGGTTTTAGAGCAGACATGGCGAGGAGAAAATTCAGTTTGTCGACTGGACAAAAGTTAGTTTGGTTGAAGATGTTTCGCAGCTCATCCAGCTTTCTCCTCGCCATGGATTCTACCTGGACGACTGAGGGATTCTTCACACGTCTCAGAGCAGACATGTCAAACTCAGGTCGGGGGCCAAATTTGGCCGGCGGTTTAATTATATTTGGTCTGTGAGATCATATCAAATCTGTATTAGAGCTGCTCGCCGCCTACAGATAGTCTATAGAGACATTATTTATTTAAAATGTTGTTATTTTATATTCTGCTTGTTCTGGATTCAATGTTTGAGCAAAACTATGATTAATCATTTATTTTAGAAAGAAAAGGTTTAACATTACAGATCTCGAAAGAAGAGAAAACATGCAGATGTTGAATTTTTAAATAAATATTTAGTTTGGCCCAAGACTTAGTCCCAGTTTTTAATTTTGGCCTCTGTGAATTAGAGTTTGACACCCCTGTTTTAGAGCCATCCATGCATGTTTAGGTAATCTAGTGATCTCTTCCAGGCCCTATTCGAACCCTCCTTATGGTTAGTTGTAAGATTCTGTGCAAAGTTCCGTCCACAAGCCTTCGCGTATGCTCCCACATGACAATGCTCCGTAAATATCCATCCATCCATTTTCTTTCGCTTATCCAGGGCCGGGTCACGGGGGCAGCAGTCTGACCAGGGACTCCCAGACCAGAGTCCTGCACGGGTCCATTTTTGGAGACCTGCACCCGCCCGTACCCGCGCAGTACAGCACCACACCCGCCCGTAAACCCGTGATTATATCAAAGTTAAACCCGCACCCGCCTGGACCCGTGCCCATGATAAATCACACACAAATTAAACATTCTAACTGAAGAATCTATCAAAATATGAACTGAAAAGTTACAACTTCAAGAATTACAATCACAAAATGAAACAGTTACACTTTCTTCAGTACGAACACGAATTCACAGACGCGACTCGACTGTCATCACATCAGAGGATTTATTTATTGAGCAGAAGAAATTGAGACTTGATTGACTGAGATGCCGGAATTTTGCACCGCACACGCCACGGATTGAACCAGGACTAAAAACAGGACTAACCCAGGGCTGATTCCAGACAGAAAACAGCAGACAAACTAGGACTAAACCAGGACTAAACAGGACTAAACCAGGACTGAACTAGGACTAAAACAGGACTAAACCAGGACTAACCCAGGGCTGATTCCAGACAGAACCAGGCAGACTAAACCAGGACTGAACTAGGACTAAACTAGGACTAACCCAGGGCTGATTCCAGACAGAACCAGGCAGACTAAACCAGGACTGAACTAGGACTAAAACAGGACTCACTGTCGGGACTGGCTCGGAGGTGCGCCCGTGTAGACCGTCGGGTGACCGCAGGCGAAAGTCCAAGTTTAGTGCTGGTTTAGTCCTGGTTTAGGCCTGATTTAGTTCGGGTCCCCAACCCGGCGCAGGACTCAAATCCCAGACTTCCTTCACCCCAGACATTTCCTTCAGCTCCTCCAGGGGGACCCCGAGGTGTTCCCAGGCCAGCCCAGAGACATAGTCCCTCTAGTGTGTCCAGACGGTAAATATCCGCAAATATACAAAAACACAACACAAAACTGTACACAGCAACTTGACAAACACGCTGATTGTGTTGTTATAACGCTCTGAAGGGAGAGTGACTTAGCCAGGAGAGCAAAAGGGAGTGATTTTAGGTTTTACGTTTGTGAAATTAGATGAATAAGCCAATAAACCGCTCAAATACAGTAAATAATATTACATTTTAACTCCCCCTCACCTTCACCACACTTTTTTTTTCTGATAATTTCGCTCCAATTATTTTAACACGGCGGCATTTTGCACAGAAATTTGTTTTTAGTACCGAAGTTAAGATATTCTAAAGCATTTTAACCACACATTACACAACGTTTAAACTCGCCGTGTTATTTGATAGAAGCGGTTTTAGCGTACACTATTATTAAACCAAACACGGTCTCACTTAAACGCGTTCAAATTGCCGTCGCGTCCCGAAGTGCTTTTCATCTCGCCGCGAAACGAAATCCTCCTGACTTGTTTTTGTGCACAAGCTTCTCTTTTGCATATTATTATTTTCTGTTTGTGAAATTTGTTGTTTTTAAATAAAAGAAAATGACGGGCCCATTAAACTGTCAAAGTCCAAGCGGCGTTCTTTTCTCTCTCCGTCTAAGTGCAAATTTCGCGAGCGGCATTATTATTCACTTGATAAAACCGGCACTCAAACCTGAAGAGCGGCGTTGTATTTAAAAAAAAAAAAACATTCTCCGCGCGAAGAATGATTCAGCGTCTCCAGCAGCGCAGGCCTCGCTTCCATTGTGATGTGTCGTGTCGGGTCTGGAACTGTTCAGCGTTAAAATAATCCAAGTAGACGCCGGGTCATTCTGGGTAATGTAGTTCTTTTTTTTCTTGTTTTTCCCCTTCAGTGTTACGTATATTAAAAGGTGCAGTGTGTAACTTTACGTTTATTCTGTTACAGGTGGGTTTATAGTTCAAAAACACCAAGAAAAACAAACATTCTGAGTGTGAGTCTCCGCAGATCTGACCTGTAACTTAGTCTGGTTTAATCCATGTCTCATTCATTCATTTGCTTTTCAAAATAAAATGAAAAATAAGAATGAAAAAAACAAATGTTTTTTTTGTTATTTGTCTCCAAAATAAAAAAAAAAAAAAAAAAAAAAAAACAGTGACTGAACCGGGACTAAACCAAGTCTAAAACCAGGACTAAACCAGGTCTAAAACCAGGACTAAACCAGGTCTAAAACCAGGACTAAAACCAGGTCTAAAACCAGGAAAACCAGGACTAAACCAGGTCTAAAAAATAGGACTAAACCAAGTTTAAAACCAGGTCTAAAACCAGGACTTAACCAGTCTAAAACCAGGACTAAACCAGGACTAAAACCAGGACTAAACCAAGTCTAAAACCAGGACTAAAAACCAAGTCTAAAACGAGGACTAAAACCAGGTCTAAAACCAGGACTAAACCAAGTCTAAAACAAGGACTAAAACCAGGACTAAACCAGGTCTAAAACCAGGACTAAACCAAGTCTAAAACGAGGACTAAACCAGGACTAAACCAGGTCTAAACCAAGTCTAAAACGAGGACTAAACCAGGACTAAACCAGGTCTAAAACAGGACTAAGCCAGGACTAAATTGGTCTCAGTCCTGGTCTGGACCTAGTCTGGTCCTAATCTCAGTCCTGATCACCAGACAGTCAATGCGAGTGCACATCCGGGCCCGTCCCGACACCTTACGTATATTAAAGGTGCACTGTGTAACTTTACGTTTATTCTGTTACAAGTGGGTTTATAGTTCAAAAACACCAAGAAAAATAGGCGTACTGACTGTGCCTCTCCGCAGATCTGACCTGTAACTTAGTCTGGTTTAATCTGTGTGTCATTCGTTTGGTTGTTTTTCAAGACAAAAACAACAATAAGAACGAAAAAAACAACTATTTTCTTTATTATTTGTCTCCAAAACCAAAATGAAAAAAATAAAAATAAAAAACAGGGACTGAACTAGGACTAAAACAGAACTGAACCAGAATTAAACCAGGACTAAACCAGGACTAAAACAGGAGTAAATCAGGACTAAAACGGTCTCAGTCCTGGTCTTAGTCCTGGTCTGGACCCGGTCTGGTTCTGGTCTCAGTCCTGATCAGCCGACAGTCTAGTCCTGAGTCCTGGGCCACCTCCTTGCAGTCCTGGTTAGTCCTAACAGTCCTCAGTCCTGGTTTAGTCCTGGTTTAGTCCTGGTTTAAACCTGGTCTAGTCCTGGATCAGTCCTGGTTTAGTCCTGGTTTAGTCCTGGTCTAGTCCTGGTTTAAGTCCTGGTTTAGTCCTGGTCTAGTCCTGGATCAGTCCTGGTCAGTCCTGGTTCAGTCCTGGGTCCTAGTCCTGGATCAGTCCTGGATCAGTCCTGGTTTAGTCCTGGCTTAAACCTGGTCTCAGTCCTGGTTCAGTCTAGTCCTGGTTTAAACCTGGTCTAGTCCTGGTTCTAGTCCTGGTTTTAGTCCTGGTTTCAGTCCTGGGTCCTGGAGTCCTGGTCAGTCCTGGATCAGTCCTGGTTAGTCCTGGTTTAGTCCTGGTTTAGTCCTGGTTTAAACCTGGTCTAGTCCTGGATCAGTCCTGGTTCAGTCCTGGTTCAGTCCTGGTTTAGTCCTGGATCAGTCCTGGTTCAGTCCTGGTTTAAACCTGGTCTAGTCCTGGATCAGTCCTGGTTGGACCTTGTAGGTGCTGTAGATGTTTTTTATTGGACGTTTTAATGTGGATGTATTTAATCTGAGCCCATGTAGTTGAGCTAAAAGAG